CTAGAATGTCATGCAACGAAAGACAAGCTGTGTCTAACAGACCTTCATCCCCCTAACAAACTCAGATGTAACCCTAATAAGACTCACTAAAGCCGTCACTGACACCAGTAAAGTTACCTTCGCCTTGTTCGTCTCACCTATGTGTTCATTCACTCACCTACGTCTTTTCATTTTAGTTATTTACCTTTTAGTTTGACCACTAGGGTTTATATATGTTTTGTAGATCCTATTATTAATAGCATCATAAATATCGTTTCTCTTTTCGATCACACCAAGCGACTGATAGTCAGCGGCTCCACACCCTTCATATACCGCATGCTATGAGTAAGATCTGATGAGCAACTTTATTGCATGTCAACATCAATTGGCGCATCGTAGTTCGTTGCTATAGTGGTTTGATTATAAGTTATATTTCTGCATGCTTTTTAAGTGAAATTTTGCATTAGAAATTTTTTGTGGCACACATTCTATAGGGGGCATTATATTCTTGAACAGAGTTACATTTACATTTTTTCATAAGACGTTGCTTGATACGGATATTTGCGCGGAGTAACGCATGAAAGAATGCAGTAAGTTCAAAAGTTAAGCTGAGTTTTGAGGAAATCATGCTATTATATTTTGGCTTATTGATGTAAACTCCCCAATACCCACTGGGTAAAGGTGACGTAGGCCTTATAATCGCCAGGTTTCCCCCGCATCCCATACCAGCTTCCCCGAGGTCTACCAAAACTACGGCACGTCGGTGGTGCTTCAAATCAAACAAACAAAACAAAGAACATATAGGTAAATTCGCTCAACATTGGTTCATAAAATGCATGCTAGATACTGGAAGTCGCTAGCAACACCCACATCTGCTCTTCTAATATTCAGTTTATTATGTACTTCTCCGAATTGCGCGAGTTATAATCGTTTCTGCTCCACAACTCTCACGCTTTGTTGATTAGATGTGCGAGGGGAGTCAGAACACCTACGTAGTGAGTGCAAACTACCATTTTTTAATATTTTTTATTTTGTAGCCTGATGCCACACTGCATTTTCAGTACAAGTATGGAATTTTCAGCATGGATATCGGTAGCCCAAAGTTTGCAGGCTGACCATAGATATCGGGTGTGCGTCGGCAGGGGATCGAACCCCGGACCATGTGCATGGTCAGCGAGAGTCCTAACCACTGTGCCACTGACGCCACCATGAATAATATTTCTCCGTGGCCTCACAGTATTCTATGGAATTTTATCCCAGCTGATTTTCTTTTATCTACCAAACCACTGTTCTCAATAGTGGGATGCGAGATGCTAGGAAATTTGTTCATTTTTGGGTTTGATGATGATTTCGTCGATAAAGAAAATTTTCATCTCTTATTTTCTTTGCTTTTGGGTTGTTTGGCTTCCGACTATCCTCAAAATATCAATAAATTTAGGTCCTGGGTCCTCAATATCTATGCAGGCACTAACTTTGAGACAATTCCTCAGTAACCAGTGTGGTAGATGTTTGGTTCCTACCCCGACAACGAAGCTAGAATTCTGTTTGTTGGCACAATTCAAAGACACTAAAGTGTACATGTAGGCTGCCAAATTGTCTAAGAACACAACGAGGTCTCAACAGTCGTCTCTTAACCACAGACCGTCACCCTTGAAGATGATAAAATACTTTTAGATATCGTAAATAACCTTCGCTTCCTCGAAGTGATCCGTCTTAAGTGGTACTAACCTGAGAAACCAAAAAGCGCTGGTTGCGTCACCATCAATCTTTCATTAGGTACATTACTTAACCATATATCTGTAGTCACATAACATTACTGCAGGCCTAATATATACACAGGTGAATCATTAATATTCATTATTTATTTCACACACTAGCATAACCATTGATTTCCCGCATCTGCGTGATTATTGATTTTAATTACTGAATTCCCATGGTTTGTTAATATTTTTAAAATGTGACATTGATTTTCCTAACTGTATAAATACGGAGTTGTTGTTTAACATTTCGACTGTTGTAGAGACAGTAAAAGCTCTCGTATCAACGTCCAGTCTTCTTTTTTCTTTGTCTTGCGTGCCCGGCGGTATTGTTGTTGTTGTTGACGTGCGATTAGGACAGATTAACCAGCGCGTTAGTTAGATTCGCTCGTAGTCTACAAGGTCCTAATATTCACATACATAACAAGGCCCCTCAACAAAGTAAGGGTACTCCGCTAAAAACCCACCATATAAATATAGCTGATAATGAGTTGACTCAATATTCATCTCCTAGATGGCTTCTCTACTCAACAGGAGATTGTCATAAGCTCAGGTATATAATCTATAACATAGAAAGCTGAATCTTTTATGAACGCGTTAGTGTCCAAGGCCGATCACCACTGAACAGTCGCTGAAATATTAATGCCCCTAGGGTTTGAGGAAATCTCACACAATGATAGTTGACAGGACAAGAGAGAAACTCTTTGGGGAATAATGATGGTTAAGAATTAACATGGAGGCTAGTCATACAGCTGCAAAGCCAGGAAAGACGGCATCTAACAATAATGAGAAATCTGATAGGATGTTCGCTAGACCAAGAAACAGTCAGTTCCTTGGCACCATGACTTCTGGTTGGCAGATGTCTAGGGAAGTATATGAGGGTGCTCAGCAGTAGTAACAAGATGAAGTTTGGAAGATGGTTGACGGACAGAAGGGTGGATCCACTCTGCTTGACATCATCACATGGAGGAGAAGAGGCTTCACCTAAGTTCTCGTCTAACTTTTTGGAGCACAGCAACTTCTGTGGACGCAGTAATTGACCCTCCTGTTCATTTAGAAATGCAGGTATTTCTGAAATTTTCCAATCGTTTAGCTCAGCTGGGGTGAGTGTATAAGTTGAAGCTAAACAAATTGCTAAGCTTGTTTCAAAATTCTTGAACGGGCAGAAAGAGTGCGACGATTTGAATCCCCAGGTAGTTGTTCTCAGGTGATTATGTGTTACGTGAGTAAACGAATGCTACAACCACATAAAATGTTAGGTTTGGCTTCTCTAAAGGTGTTCCATCAACTTTTTAACACGTCTGGAATATTTGCTGGGCCTCTGCTGTACCATGCGCCTAACCCCTCGCAATAGCCCTAATCCTCCCTACTCGCTTGAGGTTATCTTGTAGGTACGGATTTGGTAATCTTCTTATCAGCACCATCCAAGTAAGTGTTGGCAAATGAGTTCCACCCCATCATTGGCTTCTACCTCTTGTGGTCAGGGTTGCATCCGACTCTTGTTTCGTACGTAATGGCAAGGAAGTACCCACTCCGTACTGCGAGCTTATGCCAGTTCAAGCCTGCTCTCACACCTGATACACTTGCCTGCTTTGTTGCATGCAACCAAACGCAAGCAGTGACTCACCAAGGAAAAGTGAAGGCTTATTATCATATGCCACTTTAAATGTTAAGAAGTGGTGTTCTTTTATGAAAACTAACTCGAGTTATCAAGTTTTCAACTTAGAAGGCCAGACTAGGATTTCAACATCGATAAAATCAAAGACAACCACAAATACACACTAGTCAGGTTGACCACGTGCTTACCACACAAGCACCAACATCACAAATAGCAGATGTTTATAACTTTGTTTGGATGCCAACAGTTCCTACCTTATCTTGGATCATATGCGCATTATATTATAGTTATGCTACAGAAGACAGCCAAATCCGAAAGTAGCCCAGTGGGACACTCGAAAATAATAATCAACGACGACAGATCGAAAGTTGGGTAGAAGATCATCATCTCCCCAAGATTAATCCTTTACTCTCCTGAAATGCCTCCGACCCTCAAATCGTAGTTATAGGCAGGTATTTGCTCAGATTATTCAGATGTGACAAGCCAGACAAGTTAAAACAGGCAACTATCCTAACAAATTCACCATTAAGGTCATCCACAGAGATCTCAGACTGAGAACTGGTAAGCGTCGAGAGAAACACTCCTGTAACGTTCAGCAATCAGAAGGGTTGTCTTCACAGAAGACGCTGTGTGGGTGGCGGCCTTCTTCTTTATTACCCAGCCAACTTCACAACAATCAGTTCACCAAACTTGTTCAAAATCCTTGAAACCATTGCTTCAGGTTCCCCACCAGACTCTTTACTGGAGGATAAGGCTTTTGAGAACACACACTGCAGCAACGGCCGATTTTTAAAATTTAAGCAGAATCAACATGAGATCATTAAGCGTCCTCGAGAACAAGTTACACTACTTTGTTGCCCTATGGTACAGATGTCAAGATTATCGTAACTTTACTGCCACCTATGATAGAGTCAGTATAGTCGTCACTTCTTTCAGGAAAACTGTGATCACACTGTCGGAAGTGGTGCCGCCTTATACTCTACGGAGTAACTTACACGCACATTGGACACGGTCACACTATTCACCAAACCCCAAGACCTACTGTCTATGCAGAGTACACACTGGATATTGCCTGCCAACGTGTTCTAGGTGGCAATTTTAACACCTCATCTCTAAACGTAAGGCTTAAACTTGTAACTGCATGCAGCGCTTTCGAGTGGGACCCACTGTATGCTGTCGAAAGACCTAGAATGGATGGTGACTTGAGTGATAACACCATGACAGGCACAGAAAGAAGTCACTAAGGTCAGATTACATTCCTACTTGCGACCATTTACAAGCGGGAAATGCTTGAATGAAATCCTTTTTCAGTGTTAATAATCATGTGATCTTGACTTTTTAACTGGTAACTGGCTAGCATTTAGAGTAGTGTACCCTTCATACCTATGTGCATTGTACTTATGATTATACCTGATTTCCTCCGTGACGAATGGAGCTGCGGAAAGTGGGAGTGACCATGCAAAAATCCACCGAAGAATGGAACCGTTCCCTCAGCAACAGGAAGATATAGAGAAGTTAAATGGGTTCACATTAGCTTGTAAACAGAATGTTAGATAACGAAGACGTGAACAAAACACAGGTGGCCTGGGGAGTTAGCCTACGGAACAGTTATTTAATCCAACAATATAACGTTATACATGTGAATACTTGCTGGCATGGACACTGTTGAGGCAATAGTGAATGTATTCCTGCATCCATTACGTAGATTTACACTGAAATTATGAAGTATTTATCATCGGAAAGGGAAAATATGCTTTATAACATCTGGTTACAATAATTTGGACACTGGACAATTGCTGAAGGCTCTGGAAACATTTAGCACAACCAGGTTGAGCGGGTCGTTTGAATTGTTGGTCTCAGCTGTTCGTTGTTTTGGATATGACCGACTGAACCTTGGTATAGCTGAGATAACCTTCAAACTTCTATTGGGTGGAGGATTAATAGGTCTTATGTACTTCTACCTTCTCCCAGAAACTAGTTTAAGTTTTGCATACACATAAATCATTTGTGGACCTTTGATGAATTCTGAGTTTGTTGGTGTAGCTGCAGTTAGAAGTGCTGAAGGTGGACCTACTGGCGTCATAAAAAATCAGCAACTCCATCCTAGCGATTCTTCGCGTTGTGTACCAAACGACACCTCAGGTGAGCTTATTACATCCCACTTTTATGGCACTAAATTTGTTTGTCTGTTTCTCATTGTTTCATACTGAAAATATAAATCATCCTGAAGCTGTTTATAAGGTTTGGTATATGTTTTGTGTATATACTTATCAACAAATGCAATCCTAGAGGTTCTGCGGTTTATTCTGGGGCCATATCTGTTACTCTGAGATTATTACCGAACGTTTGGGGACTTATGGTTAGAGAGATGTACTCAACATTGTGGACTGAACTGGCATAAAAATTGGGTTATAAAATCCGTAAGGCTTTTCCTCCGTAGTCCACTCGCGATTATACTGTGTCTGGGTTTATATTATTAACCATTCTTCCTTTGGGTTCCTAGTGGAATGCAGGGCTTCGACAACACTTTGTTCTATCTTCTGCTGTCCTCTTCAGTTGGGCTCACCATTGCCCGTAATCTCTCATCTCCTCACACGGTCTCCTCCGTGTCACCCTCGGACGACCCACTCGTCGCTTCGCATTGGGATTCCACTCGAGCAAAGGCCTGGCGCGCGCTGTCATTCGACGGCCTCCTCAACGTATGCCCTATCTATCTCTATTTCCTGCTACATATTAGTTGAGCGATCGCCTCTTGGTTGGTTCGTCCCCATAGTTTCTTGTTGCTTATTCTTTCTGGTCATTCAATCTTCAGAATGGAGCCAGCGAAGGCAACTGTTGATAAAGGTCTGTAACTTGTTGGAAATTTTTTCATAACACTCAAGTTTCTGACCCATGAAAGAATGACTGACTTCACATTTGTGTTGAAAATCAGAATCTTCTTTGTGCTGAGTTAGTGCAGAGAATTTCAAATTTGTTTCAGATTGGTGGCGTATCTTGCCTTTCCGACTTTGAATGGCTTTGACATCTCCAACCGTGCCACCGCCTGTGGTTGAAACGATGCTTCCTAGATTAAAAGGAAGTACCGTCTTTCGAATTTCTCCCGTTGATAATGGTTGGTTCTGGTTTTTGTTGCTGTTGGTTGATTGGTTATCTTCATCACCGTCTTCTTTGTGTTCACCTGGGGTCCTGTCTTCGCTGCCTGCCTTTTCAGCTAGTTTGTTGGTTTTCGCCAGCAGGTTTTTGAGTTTGTGTGACGTTAAACATAAATCATCATCATCTGGCTGTTTACATAATCGTAAGCCAATTGGTCTGTGTTTATTGTCACTGGCAAGGTGACGTAAGGACTCTCTCTGATTGTAATTTATGCTGACCAAAAGATACCGGAAATAACATTCCTTTGTCTGAAGTAGCCAAAAATGGTCCCAGACTTAAGGGTAGGTAAAGCATGGGGAAGTAGTATTAGTAGTGACAGATTAGCAAGCTGAAGGTGCTTGATAATCTAAAGAATTTTTTGTCATGCTTTCTTTCGTCATCTTTATTGTTCATATTGTATAAACCAAACTGTGTGGTGGGAAATTTATTTCTGTTGTTCACCGAAATGTCGCTCACAAAATCAGTTTAAGGGTTCGGCAGTTGTGCCAGTTACTTAACATAAATTGATGTCATACTTTGTATTACGAGTGTTGGACGGACTTTTTCTTTAGTGTCAGCAGTTTCGGTAGTTAAAAAGAACTTTCAGATGCGAAACCTACCTATGAGTTTTGATTTCCCAGATAAATTAAGCTAAGATCAGTGAGGCAAAGTTATGGCTAATCCCAATGGAGTAGTAGAATGTAGTGCTGAATTTATATAACCAGTTTGTCATGTGGAGACATTATATCAGCGAAGCCTTCTCATTAATGTGCTTACTTCCGTGCTCCTCATCCTTCTCTGTACAATATATTATTTTTCACGGAATAAACTCTTCTATCCTTGAGTGCTTATCTTTTAAGGTTTATCATTCGAGTATTCCCACTTATATATACTGAAATTCCACATATTTTTAATGCCTGTAAGATATGGCCTCTTGCTTCTAATTCTGTATTTCACAGCTGAATGATATCACCTTAGTCACCAATCACCTCAATTATTTGCAAAAAGTTTTTAAGTGGGAAGTTTGTTCATTTACCTTCTAAACTTTTAGGTGAAGTAGATTGCACGCCTGGAGTACCTTCACTAACAAACCATACACAAGAAGCCAAAAGGAAAAGTACTAAGCTGTCATCCAAACACCAAAATGTCATCAAAATGGAGGAGTTATCTACACGTCCTCAACCTCCATGTTCTGTTAGATTGATTGACGAAGAAGAACGCATTCTGGTTAGTAGTTTTATTTTGTTTAAAGCATATTCACATCGAGATTTAATCATTTTATTTTGTATATTAGTGGCTTTCAATGTAAAAGGTTAAAAATATGGTATATGCGTAGACTTCCTATTATTCTGTTTTGTTATCTAGGTTTGTCTGCATTTAGTTATAAATTAAGGTTTGTTTTAACTGGGCGTGCTTTTGTTATGCAGTCATTGTGTAAAAGTTTGATTGTATTGTATTCTTTTGTATTCGTAATTTGCTATACTGACGGTCACGGTGTATCTGGTTCATATATATATATATATATATATATCGCAAACGTTTCATTTCTTTAAGTTTTATGCAGTTTTGTAAAGGCTGACTAAGGAAATAAATTTAGCGGACTATGTAGCGGTGACAACAGGTCGCAGTCAAGAGCCTTCTAGAACTCAGTTCTGCAGTCAGTGGGACAAAATATATTAGTGTTGGTTTCATTTTTTGGTTGTGTTTTCACATCACTAGGGTACACACAGGCTGAAAAGCGAAAATTTTCTCTAAGGAAACAGAAATAATTGCTTTATCTTTTGTGTCGTGGCCTTAGAATTGAAATGGTGTAAAGGTCATGTTTCTATCTGTTCTCTACTTTGTCATTATGGATATTATATTAGTTACAGATATCTGCAATGTTTGCAAGACTAGCTTTTTCATGTTTGGAGTACTTCGAATATTTAGGTAAGCTGCTTGCTGGTAATTTACTTGGGTTTTCGTCAACTTGTTTTATTGGGATTTCAACTGATTACCTAACAAGGCATATAGTAAAAAGCCTTTTTTTTCCCTTCACGTTCCCCAGTGGAACATAGGGCTTCAAGCTAGCGGCTTGAAGTTTCTGTAGCAGTGTTTTATTTTTACAGGATGGGATTGCTAGCCTCATGCCCAACCTTTCCTCTTCACCAGCATTATTTCTGGCTCAGCGAGGTAAAGGAGTGCGTCGGCCGGGGATCGAACCCCGGACCATGTGCATGGTCGGCGAGCGTCCTAACCGCTATACCACCGACGCAGTAAAAAGCCTAAAACTTCTCATTAGTTAGTTGGAAAGTTATAAGCACTTAAAGTTTTTGAAGACTCAGCATCAAATTACTGTTGCTTATGACGATCCGTTTTCAAGTGTTGGTGTTGCAGTTGTTTCGTTGCTTCCGTTGAAAATCAGGGAACCATTTGTTATTACGTGGCTGATTTCGTAATGTTTTGGGGAGACAGTCTGATTCTGTGTGTCAATTCAAGTACCAGTTTAAAATTGCCTCCGTAATTAATTTATTTAGATATGCTTTTTTCGTTAGCATCAGCATATATAAGAGATAGCCTAAAAGTATGCAGCGTACTTTGCCATATAATATTAGTTCGTATAATGTAAAACTGGGTGCAAAGTAATTAGTCTCAGGGTGGTCAGATCAAGATTTGGTGTCAGTGCATGAATTCTAATTGTGTTTCAGCCAATTGAGAAACGGCAAACTTCCTGATTCACTTTTGTACGCAGATGAAATCCGTGTTTGGAAATTAGACTATAAGTCCCAGAATCCATACTCTACTTCTTCGAATAGGTTGTTTATTTGTAGTATATATGGACTTCTCTTTTTGTTTCTCAGTTACAACTTCAGGTTTATAGATCCTTATTCATTTATTTAACTGTTCATTAATTTACTGTCACTGTGCATATATTGACTATGATGTAGGTTAGTATGGATATATGCCACTTACTACTTTGCTTATCAAGTTGGATTAGGATCTATCAACAGGATTACTGAATGTACGTGATCTAATGACTGAAGACTTTATCTTGATCGTGTCAGCTGCTTTTACTTTTCTTAATAAGTATGCCCCCACTGATCTTCGTATTATGCTACCACTTTTTGTCTTATCTTGTAATTACGTTCTCTTATGGCACATACGAGATAAACACGCATCTACTAAAAAATCGTATGTATGAAATTTATTTCCTTCTTATACTTCGACAATAGTTAATCAGCAGTTTATGTTCTGTCAATAAAATTGTCTGTGTAACTTGCATAAAATACATCAGGTTGTTTATTTAAAAAAATAGATTACTTTTGGCGATTATACTGTCTATGGGATATATATATCTTTTATACTTTGTTTGTGCTGGTTTGCACACTTACACGTCTTAAATTACTTAAAATGAAGGGAGGTACGTGATCTATCACATTTTAAATATATAAGTGATTATTTTTGCTATTATGCTTGCTTTGTTGGGTGAAAATTTTTATCCGGTGTCATGTGAATAGTTCGAATTATCGATTTAATACCACTGGCTTTGTTTTTTTTCACAATGTGTATTATATTTAGCCTTACAGAATTTTCTAGGCATCCTTAGGGATCTGTTTTATTTGACTTTTGGACTGTTTTAAACGATAATGTGCATCATTTTGGGGGGGATATTAGTTATTGATTATCTGATTATAAATGTGTTATTATTAATTGCAAAAAACGTTTTTACAGATTAAGTGACTTCATTCAATCATCACTCCATTATCAATTTAGCAGTAGTGCTTAAAGTTTTTATGGAACTGATGCAATGTAGTTGTAAATTTTGAGCCTGATGAAACTTCAACTGAAATACGTATTGGTTTATTTTTTTCTGTTTATTGACTGACAAGCTTGGATGGGTGTTTCAGTCAAAATGGCAAACCATGGTTATTTCTCCTGTTTTACTTAGGTTGACAAAACTTTCCTCGAGTTAATAGTAATGTTTGAAGTATGCATATCTTCTGTATTATTTTGTGTGGTGAATCTTGTAGGCAATTTACTTTTGATATTCATATATCATACTACACATAGAAGGAAGAAAGGAAAAAAGGGAGAAAATAGATTTCGAATGTGATCGAAAATTTTAATATCATACAGGCAAAGGGACATTTTCATTAAATATCGTTACTTAGTGGTCTAAGTTGCCACACCTTTTTTTCTGTATATCAATTTAAGACGCAGGAATGCATAAGAAAATCGTACAGTCTAACTTCCTATAATATCACAGGTGGGAAATACTATGCAAATAAGCGTTATTTTACTATCATCGTAATGATAATGTATAAACGCGCTTGCATATTATCAGTCAATCCTCTGCCCAAATCATCTCGTTCTTCCAAACGTAGCTTGTGATTATCATTTTGATTCCAACTATTCATTCTATACGACACAAATAGACAGCCAAACAAATTCTTGTACTGATATCATTTTTTATTTGGCTACTTATGTTCCTGAGAGTTTAGGAAAAGTTTGTTTATGCCCATCATGTAAACTGTCTGAGTTACAATATGTAGCATTTGTATCTGAACCTTATAAGTCATCTGGATTGATGATTAGTTTTGGTTTACTCGTTATCCATACATACGTATTCTTGTTATTTCAGTTTGATGATGCGGACTCTTTGGCTTGGAGTTTGGGTTGTCCTGTTGACAGAACTGTAAAGCTGATTGCAATTGTTGGCAATACAGGTGATGGTAAATCACACACACTAAACCATGCATTTTGTGGCGGTGCAAATGTATTTGTTACTTCAGCTTCTCAAGTCACATGTACAATTGGGATATGGGCAGCCTATCTTCCCAAAGAGGGTTATCTTCTCATAGATACTGAAGGTCAGTAGTTAAAGATTTTGGTATTATTTTACTCTCGAAGTGTTTCTTTGACTTTGTTTTTAAAAATAAACAGAATAAGATTCGGTTGTAACCAGGAAAATATTTTCCCTACACAGTAATTTTTTTTTGAAGGTTAATATTATGCTCATTAATTTACACACTGATCACATGGTTTTTTGCATAAGACGAAAACAAGCATAAAAGTGCATGTAACCAAGGGTATTTAATCCCACTACATGCCTTAAATGTTACGTTTTGCTTTTTATAGATTCAAACAAACATACTGTCAGGTTTTCCGTCAGTATTATCTGTTTATTTAGTTAGGGAAAATCGAGGCACAAGAAACATATCTCTGATGTATTCAGAACTTCTATCAATTGTTAAGTCAGTTAGATGTTAAAGAAAATGAAGCGATTTGAGTTGTATTTAAAGAATAAAAGTTAATTTGGGTAATTTGTCTATATTTTCAGATATAGGCATCAATGAAATCCATTAATTTCATGCATTATGAGTGGTTCAACAATGTTATTGATGGGTAACGTAGGCCAAAGTTGATGGCAAATTCATATCTTTCACTTTTACATAATATTTGGTTGAAATCAGTAATATGACGGTAGCTGAAGATTAAAGAATACCTCATATTTGTTGTTTTATCCTGTTTTTATCAGTCCTCGCTGTAACATGTTCTCATTCCCCCTTAAGATTGAATCTCGTACTGCCAAATATTTCGATATTCGCACTACTTTTAAATTACGAACCTAAGTTTATTATGTGAGGGTGTATGTGTGACCATTAAATCTCACTTGTAACAGTGGTTTGGGTTAATTTTATTTTTGGAAATATTTCAATGTTGATGGGCTAATTAGTGTTTATTTTTTGAGTGCATCGTTTAAACATGTTGTTTATTAGTTAAAACTTAAGTTTAGACTCCCAACTTTCAAACAGTGGGTTGCGGTTTCGAACTCCAGCTCTACTTATCACGGTTTTGGCAGCCGGATAGTGTGTCATGGTTTTTCACACAATGAGTGTGTCTCATTGCAGCACGCGCTTAAAAGCGAATGATTGTTAAGTAACGTTTATTTTTTTACTTCGTATTTAGGTTTGCTTGGTGCCAGCCCTAATCCTAATCGACAACGACGCCTATTGCTGAAAGTGTTTGCATTAGCCGACGTTGTTATATTTCGTACTATGTCTGATCGTCTTCATAGTGACATGTTCACTTTCCTGGCAGATGCTAGCGATGCGTTTTCAGAACATTTTCGTCCAGATTTGGAGGCATTAGCCGGACGAACTGGTTTACCATGGACACCTGGTCAACTAGGTCCAGTCGTTGTTGTATTTCAAGAGACCCAGCATACTTTACCACTAGATGAGCCTCGTGCAATGGCTTCAGGGAATAATACTACATGCAATGATCGTCTGGGATCTGCTGAACCATCTAACGAAAGGATGTCTGCTTTAAGTAAGTTTAATTGTCTCATTTTGTTATACACATCTGTTTTCACATTCACCTTCTCAATGCTTTTATTTTATGGCAGTGTAGCGTTAGCATGCGTTGTCTCTTTGCTGAAAATATAACCATTGGTGCATTAAGTGTCCTCTTTTTGATTAAACAACACTCGTTCCATGGATATTTGGTCAATTTTCTTAGTTATCTAACCTACCACTTTTGCACTACTGTCCATCATTTTGCGTTCTGTAACTGACATATCCCCTGTCTTATTTGTGAGTAAATTCCATTATATTCTCAGATGAAATCCAAAGCATTCTGTCTCCTTAATATGGTGATTTTACTTAATATAACACACAGACGCAACATTATTTATTTACTGACGATGCTTCGAGCATAATTTGTTGCTTAGAGGTATATCTTTGTCATTTTGTATTATATAAAGTACTTTTGAGATGCATAGTTTTTATACTGTGTAGCTGTTGTTTTAGTTTCAGTTTGTAGAGGTTGACGTGCAATTCACCGAAAATACCCATTGAGTCATGAAGAAAATAAAAGACAGATTCGGCGAAGAAAAATTTCTTTATCGACGAAATCATCTTCAGAGGCTGTACAATCGTATTTATACTTACATAAATATATAGTGGTCTATTATTGAATAATAGGGGGTGACATAATTGATATAATTACTCAGAAGTGGTTTTAGAAGTGAAAATCAAAAATTGTAAATTACGTGGTACTCAACGGCACAAAGATAGAAATTTGATAAGGTTAAAATTGCTATTAAGTGAGAATAAAGGTATTTGAGTGTCAATTTAACAAGTGTGAAGAGGGTGTGAAAATATACAAAAGGAGCATATGAGAGTGATAATAGTGAATTAATTATTAAAGCAAAAGCTAACTAAAAGTGAAATTAGAATGAAAAGAAAAATCAAAATATATTTTATTTACAAGGAACGATTAGTGAAGAGGTTAAGACCAAGGTCGAGTAAGAGACTGGACAAACGTTTTCTGTATACAGAGTTCAGGGTTGCATTGATGAATTGCCAGAGCCTCAGCCATACACAAAAGCCGAAACCTGACGCCCTTTGTACCAATTTGGCTTCACTTTGTAGATGATCTTGAAAGACGATTCTGGTGGAGCTATGTGGCCTGAGTTCACCAAATGCTCGAGAATTGAGCTAGTAATTGTCTTACATTGTCCCTTTGCTAACCATGCCGGATAATGTTCAGAGATGCGTTTGGAAAGCGTGCGCTTTGTGCGGCCAATATAACTAGCAATATAACGTGCAATTCCTTAACATTGTCTGCTTACTTTTGGTTAAGGTAAAACATAGTATATTCCATCTTCATTTATATCATTCTAAAGCTAAAACTCTATTAAATATAAGTACTACATAATAAATAAGGTCTGAGTTAGAACTTTTAAAATTATTGGACTTTTAGTGGCACACATTCGTGTGTCCAACATTTACTAATTAGATAAGGTAAAAAAAAATATATCCGTGAATACACAAGGATGTGTGTATTCTATTCATAAAAGGGTTCAAAATTCTTAGGCCCATGTGACTTTACTATAGCTGAGTGTTTTGTAGCTCCATATTGATTTGACCTCTTAGTAAACATTCCTTTATGAGTGTTCTGTGGTGAGTGTACATGCAATGTAATGTCCTCAGTTTTTCGTGGTCTTAGATTGTAAATTAAAGCTTTTCATCATCTGTACTTTATGTTATAGTTACACTGTTAAATCGACTTAGTCAAACTATATTCATTTAAAAAAAAAATATTACCTTGTTTGTATTATATCCAAGTTCACAGTCTATAGTTCACTCTTATAATACGATGGTTTACTTAAAAATCTCTCGGCTACATAAGTTATCATACAAAAAAATGAATCCACTCTATTCTGTTTCGAATTGTTTCAGTCATCCAACTATGTCCTTGAGTTGCAATATATACTCACACCCGCTCCTAAATAGTTTTCATCCTAGTGATATAAACTTTTCGAAAGAAATGAAAAAAATATGGTGAAGGACTGGGGGGCGGGCATGTTCCCTATAGACGAAGTTAAACTGTGAGTGTAAGGTCCCAGTCAAACGAACACACTGATGACCATGAACTAGCAAATTAGAGTAAACCGGATAAATTAGGGTTAGTGTAGTATTAGATTAGGGTTACAGTGTATTTATTATTAATACTTAACTCGATTTCGCTCACCTAAGTTTTGTTTTAACGCGATTAATCAACTGAAACTTATTGATGCACTCGTTCGGTTGAAGTCGTGTAGTTTAACTTCGCCTCAACATTTTGTTATCATTCTACTACTATAAGGACAATAGAGACATAATCGTTTCTATTTTCATGTCATATTATGTCTTCTTATTCCCTTTCACCTAGTTCGCTCTACTCCAGTACCTTTATTATGTGTCAACCTTTTGTAATTTACACTAAGCTTATTATGTCTCTAGTATTTTATTACAGTTCACAATTTAACCTCTTTATTTTATCACTACACTTGACATCTGTCTTTCACATGCCTTTAATGGCTATTTGTATTGTAATATTCATGGATTTATAACTGCAGAGCCTGAAGAAGAATTTATCGAAGACAACTGTTCTCTCAGAATCGTCTTGTTCTTATTATCATCCATTCTGTTGGAAGATTTTACTTAATCAGGTTCTGAGCTATCTGAATGTTGTTTTTTCTTTCACGTTCCCCACTGGAACATAGGGCTTCAAGCTAGTGGCTTGAAGTTTCTGTAGCAGTGTTTATTTTACAGGATGGGGTTGCTAGCCTCATGCCCAACCTTTCCTCTTCACCAGCATTAATTCTGACTTGGCGAGGTAAAGGAGTGCGTCGGTCAGGGATCGAACTCCGGACCATGTGGATGGTTGGCAAACGTCCTAACCGCTATGCCACCGAAGCACGTCTGAATGTTATGCCTTTACGATTTTCAAATTAATTATATGCAGTCCTGACTAATTTTCGGGAACTTTCATTATCGCAATTACTCTTATTGATATATTTATTTTTTGTTTCTCCCTCTCCTCCCTCTATAATGAAAATTGATAATAGGCTCCAGATTTTTGACAGAACGTCTTGTGGCGATGAGACGTAATGCTAATGCATTCTCTTCACTTGTTTATGTTGGGACACAGACTAAAGTTCCACCAACAAATTTCCAAGTAAGATTTTTTGGAGAAATTTTAAATTTCCATTAAGTATTTAAAAACAAATAATTCTATTTGATTCTAGAGAATTTTTTTATTGCATAATGCTCTCATTTTATGCTATGGAGTTTTTCAATAAGCAGTTTTCATTTTGAAGTGACTTATGAAATTCCACTAACTACTGAATAAGCATATCTACTAAATCTTTCTATTCAGTACTATTCTTTCTGCGCAATACTGCATGGTTTGCATACTGCTACACAACTATTGGTAATTCGTTATATTGAGGGTTGATAAAGTCTGACTGTCTATGAGTGAGAGTATTCCGCAAATAACTATTGTAAAGAAGAAAAGACCGATGAAGCTCGAAGGCAATGTTTATTAGGACAAACGCATTGTCTTTAGGTCTTTATTAGCACATCATTTGCAAATTGGTCGAATGTCACCACATTCGATAGCTTGTTGGATTCTGCACAGTTTTGTAACATACTTCTTACAGTTCTGTTCTTCGACTGTTTTTTCCAGCGCCCCAGAACATATTGTTACTCTTCTGAATTTGTTTACTGATATACTACTTATATCTGATTATAAGTAGCGCTCGTCACACTATAACGTATTTGGCTATATTATAGTCTGAAATACATGGTGTTTACTACAGGCACAAACAGAGTGCGGTGGTTATATTTCAATAAGCTTCAATTTAATGAATATCCAGCATAGTTGGATTTTCTACAATGATTTCATGTGATCTCTGATTTATATCTAAAATTCGCCTAGCTTAGCAGCATGTTAGATATCTTCGGTCGTAGTTATCAGTTTATTTTGATGATATTTTCATATTCAGTTGGGACTTTGTGTATCTTTGGAAGTGAGTGGAGTGAGTCCTTTCGGTCGGGTAGCAAAGTCACCTGCCTGGCGACGTCAGCTTCCTCCCGATTAACGTCGATACCAAGTTACAGTGTACAGAAGTGGTGCACCATTTAGCTTAGTGACTAATTTACACATCTGATCAATAGATTCCTACTAGCGTGTAGATCTAAACGGCTATTCGTCTTGAAAATCGTTGTATACATTGCTAAGATGAGATTATTGATACGCATTCTTGTATTTTGTATTTTAATATGTCGGCAATTTGTAATGCAAAATCGAAATAACACAAAAATACCAAACTGTTTGTAAAATAATAATAGTAGTAGTAGTAGTGACAATGTGGGTAGGTGATCCTTATATATATATATATATATATATATATATATATATATATATACGATAAATGTAAGTGTGATTAACCATTTGCAACTTTCCAAAAGGCAGTTAAATTTATGTCGCGTCAATCTGTCAATCAGATTTGTAAGTAAACTATTAATATATTATTTATCCTCCTTAAATTGTTTTTTTACTATATTCACCTACTTGGTTGTTTTTACGAATTGTTCAGATGAAGTGTTACGGGATATGTGATGTTTTATTTCTGATATCTGTGAGAAAGCATCAGACATTAGTTTTAGGTTTTTGTTTTCAAAAACAAGAATATTGGACCATGCATGCATAAACTAGAATTCACATGAAATGGTTTCATCTGTGACTGACTGGTTTGACGATATATATATAGCATAAATTTGATCCTTTTGAACAGCTTAAATTCTAGGCCTTTATATTATTCACCAGCCCTTGAGTATATTTTTCAATTCTGCTTCCTATAGCTGTGTTTTTACGAGTTGATCACGGATTGATATCAGTTAGAGAACCACTGAAAACCAGCTGGGAGTACTGGACAGCTGTTTCATCCTAGTTTGGGAATCATCGGCAGTACGCACCCACTGGGGTTCGAACCCAGGACCTTCCGGTTACAAGGCAAGCTCGTATACTATTCAGCCACTGGGACCCGATTCAATGGCGAGTCCATGAATTCTAACTTCTACCAATTCGTGATTTAGCGCGACCCCAACCATTGTCGTTGGTGGGACATCCATCCTCACACGTGACTGGATGGACCTCACTGGTCACGACTTCTCACTAGAACTCCAGGAAACTTCATCCTGGAGCAAGTCACTAGCGAGCATCAGATTAATTTTCTATAGTTTGGTTCCCAGTGGCTGAATGGTATACGAGCTTGCCTTGTAACCGGAAGGTCCTGGGTTCGAACCCCAGTGGGTGCGTACTGCCGATGATTCTCAAGCACTAGGATGAAACAGCTGTCCAGTACTCTTAGCTGGTTTTCAATGGTTCTCTAACTGATATCAATCCGTGATCAACTCGTAAAAACAAAACTAACCCTTACAAACCAAACTATAGCTGTGTGTTGACTTAGTGAATGAGACGAGGATATTGACTTCAAAATTGATCAAAATTCAGCCAGCTAAAAAAAATTGGTTTTTCATTTTAGATGCTGTTTAACAAAATCAATCGCTAGAAGTTTTTTTCTTATATTCAACAACATTGTTACATATATATATATATATATATGCATCTACTCAAGTTGTATGTCTCACTGTCTGTTTTTATTATTATAATCAATAGAGCATTAATGGAATATTATAAATTAACAGACCTTTATACTTTATCAATATATTTTTCATGTTTTCGTAATCACTTGTAGAATCTTAATTTTCTGAGAAGTGACACTTCGATAAAATAACATTTTTATTTCATTTCTTCATTATAGCCCCTAGCATCTATGGTTGCCAAAAGGATACGTGATATATCTGTTAGAGCACCGCGCAAATTAATTCATATCTTTCATATTCTTCAAGCGCTGAACACTCGTTTCTCATCTGATCTTCCGTGTTCATCGCCAACATTTGTTGAAGAATATTTCACCTGTCCGTGTAAATGTACCAGTTGTGGTGTAAGGTGTTGTTTAAGTGTAAATCACACATCGAATAATGTGGCTCATAAAGCGGAATGCTTAGATTCTAGTGGTGTCAATACAACACCTTGTCGATATGATCCAGCACTACAGAACAAATTATATTTCTGCAAAGTGAGCAAAATATTTATTAACAGATAATTGCGTTTGATCGAGTTCTCATGAATTTTTTTCTTCTGATTAATTGTGAATGTCGTGTTGGTGTTTATCATTCTACTGGGTTTATACATCCAGTTTTACGTGGTGGTATTCGGTAATCGACTGGATGTCCGCACCATAATGTGTTGCACAACTAAGTTTTGTTATTTCAGTAATGATATGGGTCAGTGAGATAGTAAGCTCAATTGTTCCTAGCTTAGAAAATTATAATTTGAACGGAAGTGTAGTTTAAGATCCTGACTAAGTTTGTAGAAGATTACGAAGTACTTCTGTACTGGTTTGTTTATTTTCCAATAAACTAATATAGAAATATATTGTTCCCCTAGGAACATCTAGGGGAATACGAGGCTTCAATAGTACATCTCCGTCTCATCCTGTTTTCTCCAGTCCTCTATAACTGGCTAAACAGTTGCCCATAAACTCTCATCTCCTCCTCACACGATCTCCTCCATGTTACCCTCGGATTCCCAACTTGTTCTTTCCCATTTGGGTTCCCCTTGAGGGTCTGGCGTGTGATGTCATTCAATGGTCTCCTCGGTGCGTGTTCATCCATCTCCACTTGCTTTTCTGCATATTTGTTGGTCCGTTGGCAGACGTTTTTGCTGCTTATCCCTTCTGGCTATCTGATCTTCAGTATGGAGCGAAGGCAGGTGTCGATGAAAATCTACAATAGGCTGTTGGAAATGCTTCTGGTGACGCACGAAGTCTCTAAACCATAAAGAAGAACTGACTTGACATTAGTGTTGAAAATCGGAATCTTGTTCCTTATGCTGAGTACAGATTAATGAAGATCAGTCTTGCAAAGTAAAGTAACTTACAGCATACAAAATAAATATATCTATATAGTCAATGTAATTTCGATCATGGGAGGCTCTGAATAATAAACATTTCTATTAGGACATTAAGATGAAGTTACTTTTATTCACTCGTTCATATTTAACTTGTAGATATCAGTGAGGTAATAAAAGTTACTCAAATCATCATTTTGTACTGCATGAATAGTCTCCGTGCCTACTTTTTTCCCATTTTTTTGGTCACAATTATTTTATTGGGAAAAAAATTTCTTTCTTTGTGTTACATAAGTAGTGTTGAAGGACTCAGATGTTAGGGTTATCATTATTCTGCGTCCCTTTTTGTATTTTTAACCTCCCGTCTTAGATTGCATTTTTGCTGCTATGTATAGTGTTGGCTCTTTAGGCCAACTTTCTTCTTTTGAAGTTTTGAATTGCTCCGTAAAATTAAAGGCAAATCTAACTTGATGCGAGATGTTAACATTTCCATAAAGTGTGTGTTGTCTTCAGATTAGATAGATATATGATCAGTTGTAACTTGAAGTCAGTTGGTGGATGGTGACTAGCAGTCGGATCCAGGATGCGCATTTCGTCTTTTTTGGGACTCGTCACTGAATGTACCTGCACTCCCCAGTGAGTGATGGTGTTCGCACCGAGGCTCAAACCCAGTTCCCATAGTTTCAAACGCCAAAGCGTTATCCACGAAAGCCACCACCTCTTGTGCAATGGGTCTTATTAATTATTTGATTCAATTTAGATATTTTCATCGATTGATTGGACCGAAGTGCTCGGTCTCCTGGATTTCACTGCTAGTCACCATTCACCGATGACTTCAAGTTAAATGACCAAGCATCGTCGAAGCATCTTCACTAGGAGCCGACATGTCAACCTAAGACCGAGCACTTCGGTCCAATCTAAATTGAATTAAATATGACCAGTTGTGTTTGTAGCTTAGTGCCTTGCAGAATACATGGTTTATCTCCTTTATAACATTATCCCTATGACTTTAAATCAAACTTTAATGATGGATTATTATCGTGTTAATGAGCTTTCTCTGAGGTGGATTGTTTTTCAGTGCTCTGAAAAATGCTTTTGTTCCTTGTTCGTATTCTTACTCATCAATAAGCATCCACCAGGGTTTGACTGACTGGATTCAACGTAGAACTTTGCACAGATGTGCAGCAGTTAGAGTTACCACATTTCATGTAGCACACAAGGCAAGAGAAGAGAGTAGAGAGAGATGATAAATAGAAGTGTGAGGGAAAAAGAATGGTAACACGGAAGAACATTGTTTCATTGGATATTACAAATCACAAGGAGTGGATGCATCTGCACCAGCCATTGAGAACGATTTTGAGCCATATGACTAATTGTTTCCGGCCACTGGTTTTTACCATCCCGAGGACTGCAACCAGGAAGCGTACTGCTGAGCAGTACACACTCCCTTTGGTCGACAGCCGCATATCACATCTACGCCATAGATGGCGTAAGTAGGCATATACCAAACGAGCCTTCTGTATCCGTGCTGAGATTTCGTCAGTGATCAACCCGTTTGGGCTGATACTATATTTATTGTTCCCTTAGTTTTCGAGTGGAACATAAGGCTTCAACAACACATCTCCACTTTCTTCTATTTTCTGCAGTCCTCTTCAGCTGGGTTCACGGTTGCCCATAATCTCTTATCTCCTCTTCACACGATCTCCTCTATGTCACCCTTGGGCTGATGCAACTCCCCAAATAAGTGAAATGGTCAACACGCTCTACCGTTTCACTCCCTATCTCTAAGGTAGGAGTCGATGTATTCCAGTCCTGTAACATCACCTTACATTTGACAGGAGCGAATCGCATGCCAAACATTCGAAGATTGCTGCTCAAGGTGTTCAGAAGACTCTGCCTCATTTTTTCAGCATCTTCACCTAGAATGACTATATCATCTGCATATTCTAAGTCAACGAGATTATTCCCTGGTAACAAGTCAATCCCTGAGTCGGTGAAGTCATTTAGAGTTAAGTTCATTAGTACATCTATGATGAAATTAAATAGAAATGCAGACAATGGGCATCCCTGACGGACACCTGGTTGTCACTACATTAGATGACAACTCTCTGTAGGCTCTCACCTGGCTGACTGCATGAGTTCGCGTAGAGTGCCTTGATCAGTGTTATTATTATTACTTAGTACCAAATGATGTAAGTTATGTTTTGTTCGAATGGTATGCGTACTTTCGAAATTAATGAATCCCAACCTATGGCTGCTACGCTGACGTACTGGTCTGGCTTGCGTATCCCAATAACCCAATGAGGTACCTTGGCTAGATAGAAGTTTGATAGAGGTTAGACTAAAAGTGGTTATCATCATAGTGTTAGTTGTTTAAATGTGTGATATTATATATTACTGAATGAATGATATGAGCAGCTGGATACCACTCAAGTTTATTTATTTTACCTTTCTTTCGTTAAGCTGTGTTATGCTTATGGTCAGAGGACCATGATGGTTCCCAAAAGTGGCGAGTCAAATGCTAATGCACTTTCAGCTGTTGTAAAATACCTGTGGGCTGGTTATGTTTTGGAATGTCCTAGACATGGTACTATCTACCGTAGTCGAGGTTATTGGTCTGGTAATGTAGAACCTGAAATGAATCCTCAAGTGCACTGGGAAATTGTGCATGTTTGGCAAGGGGAGAAGTCAATACTTTCGGTAAGTACAAATATCTCCATTTTCTTTTCATAACCTGTTGTAAATTTCTATTTATGTCATATATGTGAAGGGCGTAGATAACTAACCACAATCTGTGATAAATTTTGATTTTCTCCATAGTGTATAATTATACTCTACCAAGTTCTGTTCTTATATCAAACTATAGAGTGGTAAGCATATATGAATTTTGAATTGTCACCCTCAGTGGTTTCCTACCTTCATCAACTCCATGTTTCGAAGTGAAATATATTCAAAATCTTGATTACTGAGTGAGTGGGAATTTGATTTCGAATTTTCTAAGTATGGTCGGAAGAACTATATAGCTATTTTCTACCTGTGTTATTTGTTAGTTCACCTTTCATAATATATATATATATATATATATATATATATATATATATATATATATATATAAGGTTGATTTTAATTATTTCATAGTATGTGTAAAAGGTACTTATTGTCGATGGCAGCATTTAGACTTTATCATCCACGTTTTAATTTGGTGGATGGTGTCTAGCAGTGGAATCTAGGATGCACATTTTGTCCTACTTGGGGCTCGTCAGCTTGATGTACCTAGATTCCCTGGTGAGCAATGATGTTCCCACAATTTTTAAACTCCAAAGCGTTATCCACTAGAGCACTTAGGTCACGAGAGCCGCCACTTCTAATACACAATGCGTGTCAGTTATTATTAATTTTTTGAATTCAATTTTGATTAATCATCCACATTTTTTATAGCAGTACCAACAGTTTCCTTGATTTTATGGAGCAGGAAATGCATGTTTTCTTACTTTACTGTTGTCATGTAAGTATCTATTTTCCTTTTCTTTTGAAAATATTCTAGGGTACTCATCCAGTTAGTCAGTTATTATTAGATGGACTAACTGTTGTCTCTAGTCAGGTGAGCCAGTTAGCTGGTCCTCCAGCACGTCGACTTGGTGATCTTATTGCTGACAGTGTAGCTCCTCGATACTGGCAACCTAATGCTAGCATCAAAGCTTGTGCAGTATGTAAAGTTGAATTTCCAAGTTCATCAGATGACTCTGTTTGTACGAGTAATTCACTTACACGAGACAGATCATCTAGTGAGAAAAATCAAACCTTAACATCTATGGATGATGGTTATCAGAAAGATAGAACATCTAGTCATCAAACTAATTCACTTCAACGGTCTTCATCATGTGCTGAATCATTGAACAGAGAATCCAGTTCTCCAAAAACACTCAGATCTTTTGTTGATGATTTTTCTAAACATCATTGTCGTGCATGTGGAAGAGGTGTTTGTGCTAGGTGTTCCACTGGCCGTATGCCTGTTCCTGATCAAGGATATGGTAACGAAGGTGTACGTGTTTGTGATCAGTAAGTTGGTGTGTTTTATTTACCTTATTTTTGAAAGTATAATTTTCTGAAGATAGAATTTAATGCATTTTATAAGTGTTACTGTTGTTAACAATGAATAGCATGCACTGTCAAGCCTTATAACGCAATCATAGCGTCGGTATCACTTATTTTGGTGGATGGCTGATATGACTGATGTTAACAGAAAATACGTCTTGGTTTTTAATAGTGTAGTCACTAAAATGGCTAGTTAATGATTTTTTGTAGGACCGATAGCTGCTACCTTGACGTGGTGGTCAGGCACATCGCAATCATCCAACAAGCTACAGTGGCTGGAACTATTGTTCCTGCAGGTCCTACCACGCCAGGAAGGTTGTTAGGATAACGATTAGACTAAAAGCAGTTACCGGCTTAGTGTAAGAATTTTTCTCACACTATGCTGGGTGTCTGTGGGTGAAGTCGTACTGTCGGGGAGCAGGGATGTAACGGCAGTAAGATGTTCCCCTCAGATGACCAGCATGCCAGATATGCTGTCTCTTCACTCTGGAGAGAGGGGGTTAGAAAAGGTCGACCCCAACAGTTGTTCATCCCGACTTATTCTACGGTTGCCCGTAAACAACGGTAAGCTTACTAATGCGGAACCAAACCAAGAAACCAGTTCATACAGCCCGTGCGTGACCGACCTCAAACAATTGTCCCTTGGGCTCTGTGGTCACGCAACACTAACCCTCTTTCTGTTTTAGGTACCCGAAGAACCAGCCAACTTCCACGGTGTGGGAAACCGGGAAGTAACAACTGCCCACACACTTCCAAGAGCACACGAAGCCTCCCCGAACATCATTCTTCTTTACCCACATCACCTTCATCATCTTACTCCCCTACTACAGTTATTATTAATATTATAGTTGTCTCATGTGTTTTACTAATAAACAAATGTTCAGATGTGAGCGCAGTGAAACAACCATAAACAAGTATGGTGCTGTAGGCAGTAGACATTTATAGATTTAACTACTTCTGTTTAACTCTGATAAAAGCGATGTGATAGCCTAATGTCAAACTAACTAGCTTTATTAATTTTTCCTTCAAACACAAACATGGTGCAGTGTGGACACCACGAAATACACCATGCAAAAGAGGAATAAAGTAATTGAGAACAGAAAAGACGTTCAGCGAAGAATTACTCTTTTCAGTGATACTTTTCTCAAGCTGTACAATTGCATATATATATATATATATATATATAGTAAATTCTCTTAGAAACAAAAGGAATACTTCCAAAGATGTTTTGTTGGAATTGTAAATTTTATATAACAGTTACGTAATATAGGAGGCGTTAATCGGGTAGAAACTGAAATAAAGTTAAACAGTTAAACTGACTGATGTAATGTAGTTGACAGGATTAAAGTAGGGTCCAAGTAAAATTGAATGAGAGCCAAGTTAACAACAGTGAGAATAAGAGGTATAAATCTAATTTTTCTATCCTTCACGTTCCACACTGGAACATAGGGCTTCAAGCTAGTGGCTTGAAGTTTCTGTAGCAGTGTTTATTTTACAGGATGGGGTTGCTAGCCTCATGCCCAACCTTTCCTCTTCACCAGCATTATTTCTGGCTTAGCGAGGTAAAGGAGTGCGTCGGCCGGGGATCGAACTCCGGACCCTGTGCATGGTCGGCGAGCGTTCTAACCGCTATGCCACCGACGCACTAAAAAAACAACCGGCAACACCCGGTATTCCCAGCCGGTCACCCATGCAAGTACTAACCGGATCCAACGTTGCTTAACTTCGGTGATCGGACGATAACCCGTGCTTTCAACGTGGTATGGTCGCCGATGTAAATCTAATAGGGTGGAGAAAATAATACAATTTAAAAGCAAAACAATAAACAAAATAGCGTGTCCGGTATTAAGATAGATCAGGTCCATTGTAGGTTCAGTGACTGAACAAACTTCTTGTGTATGCAGAGTTCAGGATTTAACAGGTGAACTACCACCGCTTCTGTAGTTTGAAGAAGTTTAATTTGTACTCCTTCAGAGATATTCCCGAGTATTCTGTAGATGACTTCGAAGTTGGTTCGTGGGTTAGCTTGGTCCCGGATTCGATCAGGTTTTCTAAGAGGGAGGATCTTTTTTTCCTTTATAAAAACATAGGGTTTGGATAGCGCGGCCGACATGCCTAGCTCTACGCGAGCAGGTAGACCGATAGATACACATTGATGAGGCCATTAGTGGTGGCTTATCCTTCACGTTCATGCGAATCATTGATTCTGTATGGAAAGTTAGTTGAAGTTCAGGCGCGAAGAGGGTTTTCTTCAATGAGCGGGACAGGCGGCTTTTCACTGTTTCTGCCGACGAGTCTCCACTTAATTATTGGTTCAGGTAGATAAATCTCTTAGAAGCAGAAATTGTGGGCAGTCTTAGTGGTTTAGGCTTCATGGATTTTGTGATGAAACGTCCTGGGTAGTGAACACATTTACATAAAACATTCAAAATAGCGTTCGTCAATTCAGACAGAAATAATCTCCTAGGGATTAGCATTACGTTTGGAGGTACTACGTATTGGTGCTTTGAAATAATAGTTTACTTAGTAAAATGCTAAGTGTGCAATAATCTAAGCATTGTTGCTTTTCACTTGTTAGAGTTTCGTCTTAAATTCACAACCGTATATTTCAGTTGTAGTATTATGAATTTGGGTTACTTAATAAAATTACTCTCCTTTAGTAATGCAAATAATTATTCATCTATTTATCTCGCCAACAACTTGATATTGACACGTGAATATTGGTAGTTTCAAACTTTTCCGTGTTTCAACACACCTAGAATTGCCAGAATCAGTGGGAAAAGCTCGTTATCAGCTTAACAGTTAGGGTTTAATCTTAAATAGGATGTATTATTTTAAGAGAATACGTCGTTTTAATACTTACCAGTGTAAAAATTGTTATTTTTTAGGACACCCTCTTTTGACAATTTATTGTGCGTGGTCATATACTGATAATAACGATTTTCTTGAGAATTAATTGTTGAATGTTTTTTAAACTAGTAGGAACAAAATCTATGGCTAGTTTTGCGATAAAAACACCTCGGTATAATTTTCCTATTGTAAAGGAATTAATTACATTTTAAGCGGGAGTTGATTTGTCAGCTCTGATTTGAGTAGTTGTAAAATTCATATATGAGGTTCTAGTAAACTGATACGTCATGCTGCTGTATCCGGCAAACGTGAACATGTATGAGAGTTGTAATTTTCAGCTCTCTTGAATGATTTTTAAAATTTCAGACTTATTAGCAGAGATTCTTGAGAGTCATAGATATTTTTTATCACGGCAACTTTAAAGAATAGCAGCCCAAACCCAAACAACCTAGCGGATGCACAAATGACCTAGAGCAATCAATCAGGTGACTCTGTTTTTTCCAGAGGTAATTATGGGTGCTCTACACCTTTTGCGTTGCAAATTCGCTCCGGATCTTGTTTTTGATTACTATTTGGATAACGGACTGATTGGAAAGTCGAAAATTTGTCAATGCGGAGGTGTTATGTGTATACAAAATTACACAAACTGCATTGAGGGGTTTGTGTACAGGTGTAGTGAGTGCCGAAGCAGAAAATCAGTTCGAAAAGGTATGTCGTTCCTTTTCAGTCTACAGATACCTTAGACACTTTTTTCTCAAAGTCTAAATTATCGTTAACAAAAATTTTAATGTTCTGTCATTTCTGGTTACTAAACAGACCAGTTACAGCAACAGCTTATGAAACAGAAAATTCAGAAGTGTCTGCAGTGCAATGGTACCACTACTGCAGAGACCTATCGTCCTGGAAAATGAACACGCTGACTCAAGTTCTTGGAGGAGTTGGCGTAATCGTCCATGTTGATGAGACCGTATTAATTAAAAGAAAATATAATCGAGGCAGATTACGAGCAAATCAGCAATGGATATTGGGTATCTATGACACCACCCTCCGCAAAGGATATATTGAGGCGATCCCTAGTCGCAGTGCAGGTGTATCATTGCCTATTATCCAGCGCTTAGTGCTGCCTAGGACTACTATTCACAGAGATGAGTGGAGTAGTTACAGTCGATTGTCGAATCTCGGGTATATTCATCATGTAGTCAACCACACAAACGGTTTTCGCAATCATTTGGATGGAACTCACACTAATTACATCGAAAGTTTCTGGAGTCACCTAAAAAAACGGATTAGATTGGTGAATGGATCAAGAAATCCAATGATATACAGTTATATGGATGAGTTTATGTACAGAACTGGGTTTAACATGAGTATGAAGACTCCTATGAGAAATTGGGAGGTTTTTTGGAACATATACGAGAATGTTATCCTTTGTAACTATTTTTCAACATTGCATTACTTTTATATAAACGATTTTTTACAATTATGCTCCATTTTTGAGCCTTCTGATTGGTCGAAGTTGTCCTTGTCAAGGTCATTTATCCGTCCGCTAGGTCGTTTCGGTTTGGGCTACTATTCCTTAGAGTTGCCATCACATGTCGAATTCATTTACTGTTCATTCATTTTAAATTATACCATTGAATCATGATTTTGTTTCTAGCCTTCGGTTAGTTTGATTAGGTGAACTAAATACAGCAAAATGATAAAATGCCTCCTCATACGCGTGCAGTTATTCTTTTGGTTGCCTCCGAAGGAATTAATTTATACACCTCCGTCCTTTGTTTGCTTTCAAAGACTAGGCTAGAATTGGAGAATTTGTAGTGGTTCATTTGACTAGTCCTCGATACTGTAGGTAAGAATTAGATCGATAGCTCGTTGGTCTACACGTTCAAGAGTGCTTGCTGGCCACATTGAGGTGATCTAAACGCTAAATAGCCTTTTCGCTTGTTTAACGGATCGACAAGACTCAGAGAGTCAGGTGAATCACTTCAGAGCTACTTGAATTTCGGCGAGCTGGTGATAAAATTTGTCCTTTGCAAATCAAATAGAGGTGGATATGAAAATTTACCTTGATTTCCTTTGGGAATACAAATGAGTCTTACTCGATGTTAACACTAATTTTTCTGCTCAACCATCAGGTTTAATCAACCTCTCAGCTGATATTAATAATCTGATATTTTTTTAAAATTAAGGTGCTATGAAGCTCGACTGCGTAATAAATCATCTGCTGATTCAAACAACCGTTTGTCTGGCATCAATTATAATTCTCAAATAAACAGTACTTCTTTGACTGGCCGTAAAGTCATTGAAATGTTGTCTGCTACTGCTGATTATATAGCGCCAATATACACCGGACCGAAAGGTATTTTTGATAATTATGCATGATTATATTATTATTATTATCATTGTGTTTATTTTTTACTTCGCAAAAGTAATTGTTGATTGTCATGCTTCTTTTTCTGACTTTCAAATAATCAATTAAAATTTCCTTTTTATGATTTATGTTCACATTTGAGTGGTGCGTGTGTGTGTGTGTGTGCATGTGTGGTATGCATTTGTGTTAGATTTACTTGATCTTGAATAACTAATATTTTCATTTTTCTAACAAAGAAAAATACACATGCCCGTAACAGCTGACTGAACTGTTGGTCTGACTTTCTTGTAATCACCTTTCTTACCTTGTTTTTCCCGTTTGTTTTGCGCGGAAGTACATGTTTATAATCTGTCTACCTTATATAAATGTGTTTCCCGTTTATGTGAAACAAACTGTGACACACTGAAAGTCAATGTAAAAAGTGTATTTAAAAATTATATGCGTAAAATCTCAGCGAAATTGAAATGAGTAATTCCAACGTTTCGTTCAGCAAACTGGTTCGAACTTCTACAGGGAAATTAATCGAAATTAACATAACAGAGGTTTATATATGAGAAGGACATCTCTTGTTTCTAAAAACTGTCCAATCATATGAGTCAGAAACCATTAAGTTTTCAAAAGAGGTTGAATCCGACGCAAAGGACTGAACTGTTTAGTAAAACGACAACCAGGTGGCAAGCTTAAAATAAACATTTTCAGACAAACTCGGACAGATTACTATTCAGCACATCTCTTTACCACCAAAGTAACTGTGGCCAAGAATCTGTTTAACAGAGTCAGACGTCTAGTTACTGAGGAGGAAGAGATCAGCGGGGAACTAAAATTGGTTCAGTCCACTCTTGAATCAAATAATTACCCCAAAGCCTTTATAAAAGGATATTTAAAATATGAAGATAAGGATGAGTCAAAGCCTGTTGCTGAGAATTGAATTAGTACAGTGGTGATTCCTCACCTCAAAGAGACATCGGATGAGATAGAGCGATTCTTAGCAATCATGATATAAGAGTGTATTTTCGTGCAACCGACACCTTACGCTCATCACCGGTCAAGGTTAAGGATAAAATAGGAGAAGACAACCAACAGAATTGTGGGGATTGTGACGCCATACATGTGGGAGAAACTTCCAGAGAGGAAAATATAAGAGTGAAGGAGCATAAACAATGTCTAAAGGTGGTTACAAAGACCTCTGCAAACTTGAAGAAGTTAGAAAACAGATCAGCGACTGCACTGCACTTGACAGAAATGGGACTCAAGATCGACTTTGATAGGACTAAGGTTCTACAGAAAGGTTTTGGTTTATAAAGAAAGATTGACTGCAGAAGCTTTGCGTTCATGGGTGAATCCCAACAGTTTGAACAGACCTGAAGGTGTGATGTTAGCTGATGCATGGCAAGTTCTGATTAAGAAATAAGAATGGATATGTATCACGAATCAATCAGACTTGATCTAAGTTCCCGATTGTTTATATCTTCTTATGGAGAGACTAACACATCACTCACATAAAAAGCAAAAATTCAGCGGAGAAAATTCTCTTTTTGACGATTTAATTTTCATAGCTGTACAATCGTATATATATATATATATGTGCTGAAGTTTGACAGTAAGTGGAAATACTAAAGTGCGATAATATTGGTGTATAGGATTATGAGTCACAATTGATTAGATATATGAATGAATAACTAAATAAATAGAGGTCAACCTAAAGTTCAATAGATAGGTGTGAAATGGATGATCGGAAAATAAAGTACATTCGGAAATGTGTATATGTGAATATCATATGATGGTAACGTAGGATGAGTGAAATGTTGTCAAAGTAGTAGACTAGATAAAATGTTACAATATGATAATGAAATAAAACAAAATGGAACATGGAGTAAAGAAGGATAACAAAGTTGTTATGTGAATCACATAGTAAAATCAAGACCATGGTAAGGAAAGAGATCGTACAAATTGTTTTTGTACACAAAGTTCTGGCTTTATGTTATGTATTGCCAAAGCCTGTTATACAAAACAAATGCACTCGTGTCCCTTTCGGTAAACTTTGTCTGACTTCGTAGACTATATTAAACGATGTGTCAGATGCTGCGTCGTTGTCAGTATCTACAATATGTTGCAATATCCATACCTCTAAGTTCTCCTTTGCTCAGCCAAACTGGGAGGTGCTCCCGAACGCGATGGCGGGATGATGTTTCTCGACGAACGTCCTATGTACCTAGCTCCGTATATATATAAATACACATAAGTACACGATTGTACAGCTATGAAATCGTCAAAAAGAGAATTTCCCCCCATGATTTCTCTGTTTTTTGTCAATGGAGATTATTAATTTAAATGATTTCCAATTTTTGCTGCACACACACACCATTGTATACCGCATATACACATATATTTTGCATATTCAGTCATCTACGACCGCGACCATGAACTTTAGTCGAACGTAATCACTAAAATTCTGATGAAAAATTACACACTGTTTACAGTGTTTGACAAAAGTAGACCAGTATTTGTCAGAAGTCTGAGGTCAAATTCTGATCAATATATTTTGTTAATGATATTTTGATGTCTGTTTCATGACTCATATGATTGGACAAAGTTTTTAAAAACAGGAGATGTCCTTCTCATATATATACCTCTGTTATGTTAATTTCGATTAATTTCCCTGTAGAAGTTCGGACCAGTTTGTCTAACGAAACGTTGGAATTACTCATTTCACTTTCATTGAGATTTTACAAATATAATTTTTACATATATCTGCTTCTCACTCGGTGCCGGATTATTTTGGAAGTATTCGGTGAAATATCGATCATAGTTCATATGAATAAAAAAGTATTGTTGTTTAACTGCATACTCGAATGCCTAAGTTTTACGTAGTATTGTAACACAGAATTGAAAACATGACCTTTACACCTGTATTGTGGGATATTTGGTAGAATAGATGAAACTTCAATATTAAGGCTTTTTTAGTAGGTTGTGTGAAGTTTGCGTTTCTTTAGCATTGTGAAGTTCTGGAGTGCAGGCATTCTTTGACAAATATTTTGCCTTTAGAATGGAGACAGTTGAACTTAAATATGCGCCCCCCCCCCTCTAGTATTTAGTAATTTTCATTCGTCCTATCCCATCCCTCTGAAACTCCTACTGATTAAAGAAAGATGGTTGTAAATTTTGAATCATCTATCTTCTGTGCGTTATGTAGTTCAGTTCTTGTTTTGGGTTCATAGTCTTACACAACTATAACTGCTTTTCTTATGTTTAGTAGTGAAGATTATTACTCAAGCAATAACATAAATGTGTGTGCTCAGTCGGACAGAATTGATAATTCACATGTAAAACTATCATTTTTTGGTGTCTCACTGACTTATCGTGTTTTTCTCCACTAAATGTGATTAGGTGAACTTATTGCCCATTACTGTGCAGGCTGCAATCTCGACTACTGATTTCAAACTCAGGCTTTGAGACTTTTACGTTTTATTATATTATTTTTGTTATTGTTCCGAGTAGAACAACACATCTGCACTTTGTTCCATTTTCTGCTGTCCTCTTTTACTGGGCTCACAATTGCCCATGATCTCTCATCTCCTTCTCACACGATCTCCTCCATGTCACTCTCGAAGCGATGACCCACTCGTCGCTTCCCGTCTGGGTTCCACTCGAGGGCCTAGTGCGCGCTGTCATTCGACGGCCTCCTCAGTGTGTGCCCTATCCATCTCCATTTTATCCTACATATTTGTTGGACGATGTTTTCTTGGTTAGTTTGTTCCCATAGTTTCTTGCTGCAAATTCTTTCTGGCTGGCCAACTGATCTTCACTTTGGAGCCAGAGAATGCAGCTGTTAATGCAAGTCTTCAGTGAACTGTTGAAATTGCTTTTCGTGATGCGGGCGCCAAGTTTCTGACCTGTATAGAAGAACTAACTGACTTGACATTGGTGTTGGAAATCCGAGTCTTGTTGTTTATGCTGTGGAGTGCAGAAGATTTCCAAACTGGTTTCAGGTTGATGAAGGCATATCTTGCCTTTCCAATTCTAACTGGCTTTGACATCTTCATCCGTTCCGCCTGTATTTGAAACGACGTTTCCTAGATAAGTGGAGGAAGTAACTTTATTCAAATCTCTCCCGTTAATAGTGATTGGTGCTGGTTAATGTCGCTTTTGGTTGGTTGGTTGGTTATCTTCATCACCTCCGTCTTCTCTATGTTCACTTGGGGTCCTATCTTCACTGCACTGCTTCTTCAGTCAGTTTGTTGGATTTCGCCTGTAAGTTTTCAAGTCTGCGTAACATGAAACATAAATCATCCACGAAAAGCAGATCGTATAGAGTCTTCTTATCTATCAGTCCAACGTATTCCTGACTCACACCCCATAGTCTGACGCATGATCCAGTCCACCACAATTAGGAATGACATCGGTAACAGTAGTCAGACAGCCTTGTCTTACTTCTGTATTCACTTCAAAGGCTTCGCTGAGTCTCTGTTGTTATTCACTTGACACGTGGCGCTCTCATATAGCTGTTGAATTAGGTTCATAAAATTTTGGTGAACTGGACGCTACAGTGACGAAGTACTTTCCGAATTACTTCTCTATGAACGCTGTCGGAGGTCTTTTCGAAGTCGATGAAATTGAGGTACAGGTTTGACTGGCATTCTATGCTTTGTTCGATGATGATGATGCGTTGAGTTGCAATTTGATCAGCACATGGTTTGCCTTTCTTGAATACAGCTTGTTCTGGACTGGAGGAGTTCTGCATCCAGTACATCCTTTATTCTCTTCAGGATGACGCGAGAGAATAAAAGGCGCACTGGATCCAGAACTCCATCCGGAACATTTTATATTTTAGTGGTATATAATTGGGAAGATATCTCACTATCTTAAATATTTTAAACTAATACTTTTAAACTGTTGTATTATGAAGTCATTTATGATTAGGAATTGTTAAAGTATTAGGTAGGATTATATCTCCACCCTTATTTTATGTTTGTCTCCTTCTCGGTGTGTAATTTCTTCAATACGCTTTATTTTTATTCACTTAGATAAGAAGTCGTTCGTTCCACTTACTCTTATTACTTTTCTTTTTAGAACTGGTCAAATCTCTTGCCCGACCTGATTACTGGCAACCCGATGAACTGTGCACAGCATGCTATGTTTGTTGTGCTCCTTTTGGCTCTCGTCGTAGTATTCATCATTGCCGTTCATGTGGTCAAGGTGTTTGTGGATTATGCTCTCGACATTATCAACCTGTGCCGAAAAGAGGCCTTGACTTTCCTACACGTGTATGTGATCGATGTTACGAACCAGATTTAAAACATTCCACTGTCAGTGATCCTCGAAGTTTGCAGTACAATAATCCAGTGCAAACTCAGCAAATAATACAACAACAACAGAAGCCGAGCATTATTCAACCTCTTCAATATAATAAATATCAGCCTGCTTTCAATCCTTCGGTAAAAAAAGATCCACAAAATTAACTTTCTATAAATAGTTAATCATTTTTGAATGTAAAATTGCCTTGTGTATTCAGTATTCTAGTTTGAGGATTTCTCCCTTACTGCATTCACACTGGGGAAGATACATGCATACAATATACATATATATATACACAAACACTCATGGTCCTTTCGTTAAATCTATACAAATGGTACTTTTGGGATAAGGTCTGTTGAAGGGATATTATTCATATAATGTTGCCAACGGTGGATACAGATATATAGAGAGAGGGAGAGAGATTCATAATTGGAAAAGTAAACTGTGATCAGTTTTATCTTCATACAACTATTTATTATTTTATTATTATTATTATTATTTTGTTGACTTGATTCATAGCGTCGTCGTCGCTGTCGTCTTCGTATATTATTAACTTTTCTCTTTTTATATCTGTTATATCAATGTTGTCTCGTGTGTGTGAGTGTGATGCACACATACATTGTCATTGCTTTTGACTTTTGCTTTACAATAAGATAGATGTATACAATTTCACTGTTTTTATTACTATTATTATCATTATTATTACTTTCATTTCACTAACTTATTTATCCGACATTCAGTGTGTGTATGTTGCATAGTTAATTAAACTAACTGCATAAGATTTTTATTTTCTATTTTTTACACAATTTCTGATTGTTATTTATTTTTTCCCTTTTTGCTGAAATAAGCAAGCGTGTCTTTCTTTTGCGTGCGTTAGCCATGCCGCGATATGTACATTATAACGATGATGATGATGATAATGGTGATTGTGTTGAGAATTTCTATAGTCTAATCTCTTTATCTGTTTGTTTGTTTGTTCGTTTTATTTTGTTTTCGTTGTTGTGGTTGCTTTTTTTCTGCAAATTTGAATGAATCACACTTATTTTATGCCTTCAGCTCTGACAATGCCATATATGTACACAAAATATTAATCATCTATCTCATCAGTTCATAAATAAATAAATAAATAATATTGTCATAATAATAATAAAAGACTAATTTGAAGAATTCGTTAATTTTGCCAGAAAAAGATGGTCTACGAAGTGGATCATCCTTCTTTTGGTTTGGTTTTACCTCCTATTACTATTATTACATTATTATTATTATTATTATTATTTGTATTTTTCAGAAAATTGAATATTTGTAATCAAGATAAAAAAAATGTTTTTTTTCTGTGATTAAACACACACAGCATAGTTTATTCATTCATTCATCATTTTATGTATTTTCACTTCTGACTATTATTGTTATTATTATCACCAGGACGAATAATGCTAATATATAACTGTCTATTTTTATTACTAGTGGTATTATTGCTAATGCTACTATTAATAATATTGATAATCACTGTCATCATCAACATCCTCATCGGTCATCATCACGTTTATTCAGTAATTTTATACATATATACATTTATATATACATACTTTACATTTACCTCTTTCTCTGTTGTTCTGCATTGTTTAATATACAACAGGGGAAAAAAAATTTACCATGTATGTACACACTAAAATTATTGTTTATCTCATTCTTTCTTTCTAATGTAAATTTCTTAATGAAAAAAATAAGGTAAAGATAATTCAGTCATCAAGAAACTAACTTCTTTTTACTCTCTACATTATTATTGCTTGGATAGGGATAACAGGGTAGAATAATTTATCTTATGTATATAGGTGCGTCGGTGGCATAGCGGTTAGAACGCTCGCCGACCATGCACATGGTCCGGGGTTCGATCACCGGCCGACTCACTCCTTTACCTCGCTAAGCCAGAAATAAAAGCTGGTAAAGAGGAAATGTTGGGCATGAGGCTAGCGACCCCATCCTGTAAAGTAAACACTGCTACAGAAACTTCAAGCCACTAGCTTGAAGCCCTATGTTCCACTCGGAACGTGAAGGAATATATATATATATATGTCCAAACCGAGTTCACCTTTTTAACAGTTTGAAAAAAATTGGGGTATTGGGTATATGATATTCATTACCATAAAGGTTTTATTGAATTTCCCAATGAATGAAAAACAAAACGATATTTTTTTTACTGACGTTTCGCTATTCAATGCTGCTAATAGCTTTATCAAAGTATTATTAAACCAGAGTTTTCTTCAAGACATATCAGACACACTGCAAAGCAACCTTGTCCATATGAAAGACCAAATGTCTAAAGATTCTTCTAATTCTAATTGGGTCTATAAAATAAAATGCTTGGAATGTGATGCGATATACATCGGACAAACATCGCTGCTAGAGAGAAATCAAGGTAAATCAGAAGAAATGAACACCTTAGAGCATGTCTTCGACAACCGAAAAATACAGGTCAACTAGAAAAGCTTGAAAAATCATCAGCATCAGCTTGTCTACACGCTATAGAAATCAGGCCACAAAATGATTTTGACAATAATGAAATAACCAGAAAAATTTCAGAAATCACAAAGAACGTCTGATATATCAGAAGCACTTCATATCAATTGGAATCCAAATTGTCTGAATAGGAATGATGGACAAACAGAATTTGTCCTGGTTGCGACACCCTCCCCTCCCCATGAAATGACAGAATCAACACGCATGTGATATGCAATTTCATTATGTAAACAAATGTTGCTTTTATAATTTTATACACTTATCAAATCCAACAATCTACAATTGGTTTTGTTATCTTTACCGATTGGCCAGCTTGACAACGCAAAACAAAGTTGTTATGTCTAAGCTGAGATATTGTAAATTCTGGTTTAATAATACTTTGATAAAGGTATTAGCATTAAATAGCTAAACGTAAGAGAAAATGAGATTGTTTGGTTTTCATTCGTTTGGAAATACAAAAAACCTTTATTATAGAGTAGTTTTTTAGACTATACAACAGTCTGACTAATTATTGTACATACAGGTGTAGTAGAGGATAGATAACATCCAGGGGTTTATTTTGTAGGACATTATCTTGATTTGTATTTTGTGAATTATGATAAATCACTGATTTCTCTGTAATCACAATAAAGCAATTTGTACGACTGTATTATCCACAATCGAAGGTAGGAATGTCATGTTGTATAGTGGATAGTATTAAATTTCAGAAATCAAGTTTGTTTAAGTGGTATCTTAACTGCGGCGGCTTCAATATTTAATCTACTTATATCTAACACATGATCGCCAACAAGGTATCCAGCTATGTAGAAATTGTATTTGTAAAATCTTATATTATTGATCATTTTATTCCTCTACGTTCCCAGTGGAACATAGGACTTCATGACAGAGCTCTGAAGTTTCGTTAGCAGTGGTGTTTATTTTTACGGGATAGGGTTGCTAGCCTCATGCCCAACCTTCCCTTTTTACCAGTGTTATTACTGGCTTATTGAGGTAAAGGAATGTGTCGGCCGGGGATCGAACCCCACACCACCTGCGTGGTTGGTGAAAAATCTTAGAGAAATTGAAATAAATAAATAATTCCAACGCTTCGTTTGGCACACTGGTCTGAACATATATATATATATATATATATATATATATGTACATTGTTTTTAAATTGCTTGTCCAGTCATGTGGGTCGTGAATTGAAATCAAAACAAAATTGTATGAACTGTGATCGAAACTTGACCACAGGCATATTATTGGTCTATTTGGTTATACACCCGAAAGCAGTATTTACTTTTGCATTAGACTTTAGCGATCGTATTCAAATATAGGTCATGGTCATGGTAACTGAATGTGGAAAAATATATATGTATCCGACATACTGTAATTTGTGTTTGCGTGGGAGAAGAACCATATATCGTATGTTAGCCTGTTTATAAGATGATATTTGTATGTATATAATCACGAAAAATAGATTAAGCATGCGAGATTAGTGATACGTATCCATTTTATTCATGCAATTTTGTTTTTATGTCAATTCACGACTCATATGATTGGATGAGGATTTTAAAGACGACATTTTACAAATATAATTTCTATTTATGTCTATTTTCCACTTGGTGCCTAATTATTGTGGGATTATTTGGTCAGATCTTAACCACAGTTCATAAAAGGGTATTCAAGTCAATAGAAAATGGTCAATACATATGTAAAGATAGTTACCAGGAGACGCAATTATATCACTCATGAAGAGATTTAAATCATTTCATTTTGTGCTAAATCTGGCGCTGAAGATGTTGTCCGGAAGGACGATGAAAGCTTCGCAACTAAACCAACCAGCTCAGAGAACACTATTAATTGCAAGGGTATTCAACTGTACATAATTAACAGTAATTGGTTTTAGTCGCATTAGTCTGTCTATTACTGCTACTAATAAGTTAGAAAGTCAAAAAGGAGAATTTTCTGTGTAAGACGTGGGAGTGTACACATTAATGTCTATAGGCCTAACTTCAAGTTATCTCATCCTATGTCGGGGAATACCGGACTACTGGAATGCTTAAATTTTAGGTATAGACAATTAACTAGTACAACAGAAAATCTGCCGTCAGAAGTAAATCATGTATAAGAGACCTTAGTGATGAATAATCATCCTGATATGCATGTCATAAACTACGAAGAAGCTGTAAAATTACAAATAAAGTGACCATTGTGTTTAGCAGAAATAGTAATTATGTACATAAGAATGGCAACACCAAGATGAGGGGATTTAAAAAGCCCATATGGTGTCGAACAAAGAACTTCTGTATATGGGATTGTTAACAGAGAAGGGGTTAAATCTGCGAGATTAGAAGCAACCTCTGTAAGCTAAAGCATCCTGTGAAGCTTGTACGACAAAATAATTTAACTGTTCTTATACTATGTAGAGAGTTTGGGAATACTTAGACTAACAAAGAACCGAAAAATCTGCAGATACGGTTATATGCAAACAAATAGGAGGGAACGAAGTGCACCATAAAATTTTATATGGGGAATTAGGAGGAGAGATTGTTGACAAAATCTTAGTCAAGTATTGGTTTGTAGGGATTTGGTTGATTGGTTACAGGATTTCATCATGAGCTGACATTGGTTAGAGAACCATTGGAAAACCTGGGCGTACTGGACAGCTGTTTTCTCAGCCTAGTTTGGGACTCTCCAGCAGTACGCATCCACCGCCAGGGTTCGAACCCAGGACCTTCCGGTTACAAGGCGAGCTCGTAGACCAGGTAGGTAGTTACCTGGGGTTCTAGTAAGAAGTCGTGACCAGCAGGGTACAGCAGGTCGGGTGTGAGGACAAATACTCGCCACTGACGACACTGGCTAGCGGTCGCGCTATGTCGTGAATTGGCAGAAGTTGGAATTCATGGGCTGACCATTGGATTGGGTCCCAGTGGCTTAATGGTCTACAAGCTCACTAGCCTTGTAACCAGAAGGTCCTGAGTTCGAACCCCGGTGGGTGTGTACTGATGAAGAGTCCCAAACTAGGCTGACGAAACAGCTGTCCAGTACTCCCAGGTTTTCCAATGGTTCTCTAAGCAATGTTAGCTCATAATGAAGTCCTGTAAAAACTCTTAGTCAACTGAGAATAAATGCCGTAAGAATGATTTGGCACTTGTGCTGGATCCAGAGAATTTTATATTGCCCTTAGGACAAACAAAGAAGAACTAGAACCATAGAAACCAGGTTACAAATTATAGAACTATAATAATCATGAATATGTTAGGTAGTTTGTTCCCTAAATGACAACCACTCAACAACTCTGTTTCATTGGATGATTTATACAATAAACAATTTACATGAAATCATTCAATACTCCAGTAACCGCGTTTTCATAAAAAAACAGTTTATTTCATTCCAGGCGTTGCAAGTGGAAAGTAGCGCTTCAAGGCTTGAAATTTCAGTAGCGATGTTGTTTTATGGTATGGGATGGCTACCCTGAGGAGTCCGATTTCTCCCTTTATCCGGGCTCACTACCGGCTAGGCGAGGTAAGTGAGCGCATTTGGAGGTAATCGAAACCTGATATTCTGAGCGGGTGGCTAACATTCTACTATAGTAACTGTAACTTTGTGAAATATCCTCCAGTGTTGGTTTCTTCATCTTTATACATTATACTACTAGATAAAATAAGAGTAGTTAGATTCTGAAATATATCTTTTATGATTTATTTGAATGGTTTGTTTTTTGTTGTCTTAATAATATACTTATAAATAAAAATGTGATAAATTTCATGTTTTAAGTCTGACTACTCTATGCCTGTGAACAATCTGACTTGGAAAATACTGTCACCAGTGTAAGTGCACGTAAGATTCCTACGAAAAGGGACGTATATTCACACTCCACCTAGAATACAGTTGAGTTGTGGTCGTACTATTACTGCAGACACCATAAAGTGTTTGTATACTTTATAAAATGATTATCATTCTGCATATGAGAAGAGGCTAGTTATAGTCCATTATTATATTATTATTGTTCCCTTGGGTTCCTAGTGGAACATAGGGCTTCAACTGCACGCCTCCACTTGCTTCTGTCTTCTGCTGTACTTTTCACTTGCATCCATGTTAGTCCATACTGTTTCAACTCTTCTTCACACGATCTCCTCCATGTCACCCTTGGACGTCCCACTCGCCGCTTCCCTTTCAGGTTCCACTCGAGAGCCTGACGCGCGATGTCACCCAGCGGCCTCCTCTGTGAGTGTCCAATCCATCTCCACTTTCTCCTGCATATTTGTTGGGCAATTGGTTCTTGTTTTGTTCGTTCCCATAGTTTCTTGTTGGCGATTCTTTCCGGCCATCTGATCTCGAGTATAGAGCGAAGACAGTT